AAGTGCGCAATAGACCATGGGCAAAAGTCGGAGTTAACATTTTTACGTTTAATGAACGAAATTATCTAATAACTGTTGACTATTTTTCAGGGTTTTGGGAAATAGATCTTCTAGAGAATGTCAAGGCGAAAACGGTGATTCGGAAGATGAAATCTCAATTCGCAAAGTACGGAGTTCCAGATGTGTGTATGTCCGACAATGGTCCGCAGTTCGTGTCCGAGGAGTATCATAAGTTCAGCAAGAGTTGGAAGTTTTAGAGAATTACATCTTCTCCCAGACATCATAAGAGCAATGGTCGTGCAGAAAACGCAGTCCAAGCAGTGAAACGTCTCATGAAGAAAGCGAAGAAAGATAATGCAGATGTGTATTTAGCGGTGCTGGATTATCGAAATACACCGACACAAGGAAGTGAAAGTTCCCCAGCACAAAGACTAATGTCGCGAAGAACAAAAACATTGCTCCCAACGACAGCAAAGTTGTTGGCACCAAGAGTTGTAGAGAATCACCATCAAGAAATTGTGAAAGGCCAAGAACGTCAAGCGAAGTATTATAACAGAGGAGCAAAAGATCTACCTCGTTTAAAGAAAGAAGACAAAGTAAGAATTCAAGATCACGGACAAGGTCTTAAGAAAAGCCCGTCAGTCAAAGCGACTGTGAAAGCAGAAGTTGGTATTAGATCATATGAAGTTGAAACACAAGATGGACAAGTTCTGAGACGAAATCGAAGTCACCTCAGAAAAACAACAGAAGATGAAGATGAAGTTGATGAGACAATTCAAACAGAAGTTCACACAGACGAAGATAGAGAATCGAACCAGACTGAAGAAAGGCAGTCAAAACAAGCGGTAGATTTTCAAAGAGAACAAAAAGTAGAAATAAGAACACGTTCAGGACGGTTAGTAAATAGACCTGCGTATTTGAAAGACTATGTATCATTTGTGTTTTGAAATGTGAACTGGATTAAATAATAAACTTAAATATTTGAACTAGTAATACTACAGTTAAGAGTATATTGTTGTATTTAAAAAAAAACTCTGAAAAAAGTTTGTATAGTTTTCTATCTCCTTTTAAAGAAGAAAGGATGTAACAAGAAGTATGTATCATGGAACAGTAATGCGGGCTCATAGTACTAATGTATAAAAGAGATAGCAGTTTTATTAAATGTGTCTTAATCTACTGTACTTAAATGTGTGCATGTGTTAATATAAAACGGGATGTTTAACATCGGCCTCAAATAATTCATCGTTAAAATTGGAGTAGTTTCTCTTAAACAATTTCAAATTATTATTTGGTAGTTCAGATATCTTGTTGATAATGCGAAGATTTGGAAGGTGGTCACTAATATCACTTACTATATTACCACTAAGAGTTAGATGCTCCAGAGAATTGAAAAAAATATTATCAATAAGAGTTGCAGTATGATCTGTAATTCTTGTAGGTTTCAGAATTTGTGGATGGAAATAATAAGAGCCCAGAGTATTAACAAAAGCATCAGTATCGGGATGTGTCTCATAATTTAAGAGGTTGATAATGAAATCACCCATCATAATACAGTATTTATTCTCATTATGAATTTTTTCAATTATTGGATATATATATTTTAAAGTCATGTTTATATTTGCATTTGGGTGTCGATAAACCACACCACAGATAATATTATGCTGATGATTACTCTCAATTTCAATCCATAAAGATTCATGTTCATTGTCAGAGGTGCATAGATCTTCTCTCTTATTGAAAGCAACAGATGTTTTTTATATAAAAACAGATGTTTTTATATAAAAACCCACTCCTCCAGCATTTGACACTGTTGGTTGTGAGATAAAATTATATCCCGGCGGATCAATATTAATAATGGGATCACCACCATGCTTAATTTTGGTTTCAGATAAACCAATTACAGAAAACGAGTGGTTTAGGTTAGACAGTAGAGTACATAATGGGTCAAAATTTGCAGAAAGACTTCGAATATTAAGGTGAAGAGTAGAAAAAGACTTATTGTAAGATAAATTTGTAATTTCTTCACTTGAATGGAATTGATGGGGAGTATAATAGCTGAAGTTTGTTTCACATGGTAAGTGTAGATCAATGTCATGGTCGTTAAGATGAGCGCTATTACTTATGGAGGTCATTATATTGTAACATGGTAAATTTTCTAGCCTAGCAGAAGATATATTACATATGTTTGAACTCTGGCATGATAAAATAGAATTAGAAAAAAACAATTCAGAAATTGATTGGTTATCACAGTTTTGAAATGGAAATATATCTAATAAACATTCAGGGCAAGTCCAATGCAAAATACCACCTTTGATTTTGTTCAGATAATTATACTCCTTAATGGAAAGGGTGTGCATTTTTTATGATAATGATGATTGCAAATATCGCACTGAACTCTTCTCTTGATCTTAACTAGTGAGTTTTTGCATTTATGACAATGGAAGTTAGTATTAGAACTCATTATTCATTAAGTAAATCTTTTATAATTAATAAATTAATAAATTAATGAAGTAAAGGTGACTTAGCTGATAGACCGTACAAATAAGGTTTATGAAGGAGTTGATAACTTTTCAAGATCCTTTTCACATGTTCTCTCATTTTGTCTCATAAATATTTTTCCCATTCTCGTCCATATGAATTTATATCCAAGTGTCTTCTTTGTTTCTAAGTTTTGTTAAATAATATTTTGTTCTGTTTAGTGAGACTCTCACTGATAAAGATTGGATTTTCTGCAACCTTACTGAGGCCCAAATCGCGTGTTGATTTTCCCCTCAGTCCCTTACGAGATTGATAGAATCTATCTCTGATATTTCTGCGCGTAAATTTAACGATGATCATCGGGTCCTGATTTTGTCGTGTTGAGTATGATGTTGGCAAGCGATGACTGATAGATATGTCCTCATCTTTTACATCTACACCCAACTCATTGGCCAAATGCTTCACCAACGAGTCAGTATTCTCGCCCTCACGTTGTGGTATTCCTTTAATTTCCAGGCAATCTCGCCTAATATATTGTTCGAGGTCATTTGCAATGTCTCTTTGTTCTTGGACTTTGATTGTGAGTCTAGAAACTTCATGTTTTAGACGTTGATTTTCTTGGTTGGTTTCTTTAATTACTTCTTCGAATTTGGTGAATTTTTGCTGAATAACATCATACTGTGAACTTAAAAAGTCCATAGAGTGAATAACCTCATCTAATTTTCCTCTCACATCGTTTATATTAGTAAATACTGGCTTTAACTTTTCATCGAATAACTTCTCTAAAAGTTCACGTGTTTGAATTGATATATCCATTAGTAGGCAAACATATTAAGCATCAAAATAAACTGTAATTTGATCGTTTAAAAGTTATTATTAAGTATACTGATTTGTTTTAAAATCAAATATTGAGAGCTAAAATTTTGGTCGCCATCTTGCTTGCATTTAAAATTTGAGTTCCCTGCCTGCATGGTAACGCAATTTAACTGTATTTATTATAAGCATGACAAAATTACTGGATACTGATTGGTTGAGAGGCGTACAGTTATTTCATTAATTGTACAGCTGTACAATTAGTGATTTTTTCAAAAATGGCGGAAAGGCGGAATTTAAACACAAACGAAATTGCTCTAGAGGAAACAAAATTGCTCTAAAAAATACCAACAAAGCACCAAATTTTGGCTAAAAATCTGGCAGGAGTGGAATATGTTTACATTGAGAATTAACGCTTACAAGAGCTGCATAAAGCGCTTCAAAGTTTTATATGCTGATGTAATTTTGTCATGCTAATAATAAACAAGTAATCATGAGATGTTGCTCGTACAGTTAGGGATTAATTAGCCATTTCCCAATTGAGAACC